CCTGGAGTCGGTCCAGCACTTGTTTAACCTGGGACACATGGTCCTCCCAGGTCTGGCTAAAGACACAGATGTCATCAATATACGCCACGGCAAAACTCTCCTTCCCCCTCAGTAGCTGGTCCACCAGGTGCTGGAAGGTGGCTGGTACTCCCTTGAGGCTGAAAGGCATGGTCAGGAACTCATAGAGCCCCAGAGGGGTGAAAAAGGCTGATTTCAGCTGGGCATCTGCATCCAGCAGCACTTGCCAGTAGCCCTTGTAAGGTCCATGGTGGTAAGGTATCGAGCTCCTCCCAGCTTGTCTAGGAGCTCGTCAGACCTGGGCATGGGGTAGGCATCAGATACAGTGATGGCACTGAGCTTCTGATAGTCCACACAGAACCGGACCAACCTGTCCTTTTTGGGGACCAGCACAACCGGCGAGGCCCAAGGGCTGGCAGATTGCTGGATCACCCCCAAAGCCAGCATGTCCCGGACCTCTCTTTCCAGGTCCTGAGCAGTTTTCCCTGTGACTTGGAAGGGGGAGCATCTTATCGGCGGGTGTGACCCTGTCTGCACCCAGTGGACAGTCAGATTAGTGCATCCAGGCTGGTTAGAAAACAGCTGTCAGTACGGACACAGCACCCCCTGACCTCAGCTTGCTGGGCAGGGGTTAGCTGATCCGAGAGGGGAATTGTTTCCAGGGGGGGAACCAGCTCTGGTCCCAGGGAATAGATCTACTAAAGGGTCTTCTCCCTGCTCCTCCCAATGTCCACACATGGCCAACACCACATTCCCCCTGGCATAATATGGCTTCATCATATTCACATGGTACACCCGGCGGTGGTGCGCCCGGTTCGACAGCTCCACCACATAGTTTACCTCATTGAGCTGCTTGACAACCTTGAAAGGGCCCTCCCAGGCGGCCTGTAGTTTGTTCTTTCTCACGGGGATGAGAACCATCACCTGATCCCCGGTGGCGTAGGCGCGGGCCCGGGCCGTGTGGTCAAACCAGACCTTCTGCTTCCTCTGGGCTCTGGCCAGATTCTCCCTGGCCAGGCCCATGAGTTCAGCCAGTCTCTCTCAGAAGATCAGGACATACTCCACCACTGACTCTCCATCGGGAGTGGCCTTCCCTTCCCACTCGTCTCTCATCAGGTCCAGGGGGCCCCTCACCCTCCTTCCATATAACAGTTCGAAAGGTGAAAATCCGGTAGACTCCTGGGGCACCTCCCTGTACGCGAACAGCAGGTGAGGTAAGTACTTGTCCCAATCCTGTGGGTGCTGGTTCATAAAGATTTTCAGCATCATCTTTAGCGTCCCGTTAAACCTCTCCACCAGCCCATTGGACTGGGGGTGATAAGCTGAGGCCCAGTAGTGCCGGACCCCACATTTCTCCCACAAGCACCGGAGCAGGGCCGACATGAAGTTGGAGCCTTGGTCTGTCAAAACTTCCTTGGGGAACCCCACTCGGCTGAAAATGGTCAGGAGTGCATCTGCCACGGTGTCTGCTTCAATGGAAGCTAAGGGCACCTGCCTCGGGGTAGCGGGTGGCAAAATCTACCACCACCAGAATGTATTTCTTCCCCGACCGGGTCGTCTTGCTGAGAGGCCCCACGATGTCCATGGCCACCTTCTGGAAAGGCTCCTCTGTGATGGGCAAAGGTCTCAAAGCCGCTTTCCCCTTGTTCCGGGCCTTCCCCACCCTCTGACAGGGGTCACAGGATCGGCAATACTGCCGGACGGTGGTAAAGACCCCGGGCCAGTAAAAGTTCTGTAGCAACCTCTGCCGGGTGCACCGGATTCCCTGGTGCCCTGCGAGGGGGATGTCATGGGCCAGGTACAGGAGCTTGCAGCGATACTTCTGGGGGACCACCAGCTGCCTCCTGATCCCACAGGACTCTGCTTCCCTTGTGGGAGCCCATTCTCGGTATAGGAACCCCTTCTCCCACAGGAACCTCTCCTGGCAGCCTCTCCTCATGGTCCGTCCCACACTGAGGTCGGCCAGGTCCCTGAGCTTCCGCAAGGAGGGATCTTTCCTCAACTCGGCCTGGAACTCAGCGGCTGGGGAAGGTATGGGGACCGGTTCCCTCCCATTGGCCGGGTCTGAGGCCACAGCCTCTCCGAGCCATGCCCCTCGGCGCTCCCTCCCCACCAGGGGGGGTCCTGCGCCTCTGGTGTGGTACCCTCCGCAAGGTCAGGGTGCAGTGCCCCTCGCCGGCTCTGGCTACGGGTCACAATCAGGGCGGTCTGGGGGTTGCTTGGCCAGTCCTCTAGGTCTCCCCCCATCAAAACCTCAGTGGGCAAATGGTGGTGTACCCTCACATCCTTGGGGCCCTCCTTGGCCCCCCCATTTCAGGTGTACCCTTGCCACGGGCACCTTAAATGGGGTCCCGCCCACCACTGTCAGGGTAAGGTAGGTGGGCACCACCTGATCTGGGGCCACCACCTCGGGCTGGGCCAGCGTCACCTCCGCGGCCGTATCCCAGTATCCATTGACCTTCCTCCCATCCACCTCCAGGGGAACAAGGCACTCTCTCCAGAGGGACAACTGTTTTACAGCGCCCACCCTGTAAACCGAGCATCCTGAGACCAGAGCATTCAGCCCTCTCGCGGGGCTGGCCGGGGGTTCTCTTCCCTCCTGAGCAGGTGGTAAACTGGCAGCACCCCTTGCCTGGGTCATCTGCCCCTCGTCCAGCTGGGTCCCTACCCAGTTAACCCTGGGTAGGTTGGGTCTGCACAGTCTGTCCCTGAGCCTGGGGCACTGGGTCCGTACATGGCCTCTCTGGCCACAATGATAGCAGCTCAGGTCACGTTGGTCCCCTAGAGCAGGTCGGAGGGTCCCGACGCCAGGCGTTCCCCTTCGGAGGGGGTTCTCCCTATTTTCCCACTGGGAGGTCCCATGGTGACTCTCTCTGCATCGGGGGGGGGGGGCCTGTTCTTTTGGGACTCCTCCCTGCTACCCCCCGACCGACTGTTCACAAACTTGTCAGCCAGCTGCCCTGCGTGCTGGGGGTTCTCGAGCTTTTTGTCCACCAGCCACAGCCTCAGGTTGGAAGGTCACTGTTCATACAGTTGCTCCAGTACGATTAGGTCAAGCAGGTCCTCTTTAGCTTGGGCCCCAGCTGTCCACTTGCGGGCATATCCCTGCATCCAGTTGACCAGTTGTAGGTAGGTGACCTCAGGCGTTTTACGCTGACTCCGGAACCTTCTCCGGTACATCTCGGGGGTCAGCCCAAACTCACGGAGCAGGGCATGTTTGAACAGTTTGTAGTCCCCTGCCTCTGGCCCTTTTATTCGGCTGTACACCTCCACGGCTTTGGGGTCCAGTAAGTTGAGAAACTGGAGCCTGTCTGCAGGGTCAACCCTGTGCATCTCGCAGGCATTCTCAAAGGCCGTCAGGATGCTATCTATGTCTTCCCCCTCCTTCCGCTGGGCCAGGAAGCACTTATCAAAGCTCCTTGCAGTCTTGGGTCCCCCCTCACTCACCGCAGCCAGGGCCCCACTGCTCCTCAGCCTGGCCAGCTCCAGTTCATGCTGTCTTTGTTTCTCCTTCTCCTGATGTTCATGTTGATGTTGTTTTTCATGATCCTCCTGCTCCCTCATTTTCATCTCCCTCTCCCATTCCAGCCGCCTCCACTCCAGGGATGGGGAGCTCTGCCGGGAGGATCCCCTGCTGGCTGCCGGGGTCAGAGTGCCCTCGGTATTCACTGGGCTTCCCTCAACCCCTTCCCCAGGCCTAGGTAGGAAGGGTCTCGGGATGTCCTCGGCAGCAGTCTGACCCCTCCCATCCCGGTCAGGCCCCAGGGCCCACGCTGCGTCTGCTGGGCGGCTTCCCTCAGGGACAGGGATCGGGTCATCCAAGCGATCCCGCTCCTCCAACTGGGCAATCAGCTGTTCCTTGGTGGACCTCCCAATGCGCATCCCCCTCTGCCTGCACAGCTCCACCAGGTCACTCTTAAGGTGTTTAGCGTACATCTCCCTGCTGGCCACTCGCAGGCCGGGCAGCTTCCCACGGTTTCCAGGAAAAACCCCTCGTATGCCAGTCCTTCTTGAGGTCACCACCTCTTTGCCAGGGTCGAGCTGCAGACTCCTCCACCCCTGGGACCGCTCAATGCAATCCCCCGAGGGACCCTGTTACTGCAAAAGTCCTTCTCTCTGGTCACACACTCACAGGGGTTAACCGCCCCCTGAAACCATCTCTCTCTGAATCTTCAGCACACCTGGTCCCCATCAATCCCCCTTCGTTTTACTGTTCCCCAGTCACTTACTGCAGGAAGTTCCGTTCACGGGGTGCAGTACATCCCACCTCTGCCACTAGTTGTCACGGAGTGTGGGGGAGTCCAGGCCCTGCACCCCTCTTCCTGGGATTCATTGAGACTCTCAGCCAGCCAGTAAAACAGAAGGTTTATTGGACAACAGGAACACAGTCCAAAACAGAGCTTGTGGGTACAACCAGGACCCCTCAGTCAAGTCCTTCTGGGGGAGCAGGGAGCTTCGACCCCAGCCCTGGGGTTTCCTGCGTTCCTCCACCCAGCCTCAAACTGAAACTAAACCCCCTGCAGGGTCCCTCCTGCAGCCTGTCTTCACATTCCTGGGCAGAGGTGTCACCTCCGCCTTCCTCTCCTGGCTCAGGTGACAGGCTCTCAGGTCTCCCATCCCCAGGGCACATTCCCAGGCCAGCACTCCCCCGCACCCTGCTGCGTCACATCGTCACACATGGCGATGTCCTCTCGGGGACAGGGGTCCCCTTTACCCCCGGAGAGACCGGGCGCTCAGCTCAGCGCACATGGAATGACAGGAGGTGGCTGCGAGGGTAGGAAGGAGGGTGCAGAGGGCAGGGCACTAGACTGGAGACCCCGCTTGCCCAGGGATGTAGATGCGGATTTATCCAGCAGGGATAAAATATTGAGAGGAGGGACCGGGAGCGCTCTCGGGTGGATCGGAGAGTCAGACACTCCCCCCCGACGTGTGAGGGTGAAAGCCCCGGGAAATCAGTGCGTGTCTCTCCCTTGGAGCACGGGCTACTCCAGCACGCGCCGGGCACCTGCCATGGATCCAGACCATGCCCAGGAGATGTCCCGAGCTGTGGGTCTCTCCCGGGAGGGCCGGATGAGGACGGAACCGCCGCTGCAGGGAGAGGAAGGCTGGTTCCGCCCCGGAGACTGACCAGCGGCTGTAGGGAAGGGGCGGGAGTGGGGTGTGGGGAGCCGGAGCAGCTTCCGGGCTGTGCACACCAAGGGCGGTGCTGGCGGGACTCGGGGCAGCGGCTGCCGCCCACGCTGGGGAGGACGCGGCACCTTCGTCTGCGGCGCCTTTCACACGGGGCAGCCCCGCGGGCGCGCGTGTGTCTGTGCGCGCGCCCGTCACTCTCTTCCCAAGGCAAAGACCGTGGCCTTCCCGGTGCACACCTAACACGCACCGTGACACACACACGGGGAACGGACACGCGGTGCGATTATTTTGTGGCTCTGAATTCCGTGAATCTTTCCCTGCCCGCTCCGACAGCCGTTGGAAAGGGAGGAAACACCTGTGTTTTGTCCGTGCGTTTGCCATGATTTCTCTGGCAGCTCAAAGGCGAGGCGAGTCCGGAGAAATTGGGTACATTCAACTGTCTGTATGTTTTCCATAGTGAGCTCACTGTGTGCGCGTCTTTTCTGGAGAAGCTGGGAGAAATGTCTTCTTTTCGGGTGCCTGACAGGCCCGGGGAATAGTGATTTCTAAGCAGGGGTTTCACATTCACACATCTTCTGTGTGTTGGTGGGTGGGTGTGTTCCTGCTGCTCCCTGCCGGAGGGACTGAAACCTGCCAGGGTCCGTGTGTGTGCAGGGGACGGGTCTGCACTCAGCACTCCCTGCTGAACTGGCCTCTCTGCTCTGCTTTGAATCCGCTTCCCCTTTTTGTACAGGTCCCTGCTGTGCTCCGGGTCACTGTGTCTGGCGCAGTAATAGGTGCCGGTGTCTGCAGCTGTCAGCGAGCCCAGCCGCAGATAATACTTGGTGTTGGAAGAATCCACGGTGATGGTGATTCGGCCTTGGAGAGACGGGTTGTAGCTTGTGCCCCCGGTCCAGTATCCCATCCACTCCAGCCCTTGGCCCGGAGCCTGCCGTACCCAGTCCCAGTAGTAGCTGCTGGTGACGGTGCCCCCGGTGACGGTGCAGGTGAGCGTGAGGGTCTCTCCGGGCTTCACCACCCCGGGGCCGGACTCCTGGAGCCGGAGCTGGGACAGGACACCTGGGAAAAGCAGGGATCGGTCAGATTCAAACCCACCTTCTCTCCCCCCCGCCCCAAATCAGCGCGGCCTCCCGCAGCCTCCCGCAGCCACTCACCCGGGGCCAGAGCCAGGAGGAGCAGGGGGAGGAGCAGAGAGTTCATTGTGCGCTAGGCGGGGACAACAAAGCGCTCGCAAGGGGCAGCTCAGCGCCTGGGGGACACGGCGGGTCTGAGCGCCCCGGGGCCGCTACTTCAACCCAGAGCCCGGAGCGGGGATTTGCATAACGTGGGAGCGCCCCAGGAAGGAGAGAGAGAGAGAGCTGATAAAAAGGACAGGGTGGGGGGCCCTCTGCCTCTCTGTGTCCACATTGGACAGACAGAGCGTGTTACACACACACACACACACGCTTTGCTCGATTGCTGCAGAGGAGGAACATAGAAAAATCCATAGTGAATTAAACTCTCACACCGCGCTGCTGTATCTCTCATCAGTTTCTGGGGTCAATTCATTGACTCGTGTAAACCTTACGGAGGAGGTGCTGAAGAAGTCGATTTTTGGGCCCGGGGACTCCAGTGATGCGGTGCGCTTCCTTGTTTCAAAGCCCCAAACGCCTTGTCCTGATACTTCCCAAACTCAACAGTTATTGATTACCATGCCTGTTTATTGATTGTTGATTATTGGTTGGCTGAACAGGTACGCAGCTAGGTAGGTTGTTAGATGGCTCTATTAACTTACATTACCTGGAACTTCTGCTCCGGATCCCCTAGGTATCTTTGCAAATCTCACTCGTATATTTCCGAGGACAAGGGGCTCAGTTTCTGGAGAGTTTTGGCCAGTATCTTCCATTCCCCAACAATACTTTGGCAGAAGATTATGTGTGACTTTAAGGAAGCTCAGAGTTCTTCCATTACAGCGCTAGAGATGGGTCATTTGGGGTGGGGGGCTGGGGTGTCTGCGGGGGGGGGGGGTCTCTAGGTGAAATAAGCTCGAATTGGCACCACGAGCTGTACTGCAAAGCCTGGACTGACACAGCAGTTTTGAAGCTGAACTGAATAAATGGGGATTTTAGCCTGGATTCATTATTCGGCTTCGAAACAAATCCCTGGTGCGATCTTCACTGTGGCGCCGCTAGCGGTGGCTGCATAATGGATTATTTCTATGATGTGCCCGGTCCTCTCCAACCCCCAGCGGAAACCCGGGCCATATTACAGTCCTCGCTTAGCGTTCCTCGGTGGTTCAGAGAGCCCATTCCACCTGTGTCCTGTGTCCAGACACAGTGACTTTGTTAAACCCGCGGGTAACTCCTCTTTGGGTCGACTGATGGTTCGTGTTCACAGTGCTGCCCTCTCGGGGAACAGGAGAGAATTGCAGGCCACAATTTCAGGCTCTTGTTTTGACTCACTTCCCTTTTCCTGAGCAAGTCACTTAGTCTGGTTGTCCCCATCTGTCAAATGGAATAACAGCATCCCCTGCCTCACAGGGATGTGGTGAGGAGAAATACATTGATAGGATTAAGGCTCAGATACTAGCGTGATGGAAGCCATAAAATGACCCGATATAGAAAAATACATAATCACAGTATCTCCGTGCCTGAGTTCTCAATATGGACTGAACAGCCTCCTAGAAATGTCCTGAGCGTCAGTGTGTTCCAGACGGTAAGGTGCTCGGGTAGCATGGGAGTGGTATTAGTGGTAGTGGCCATTAAGGTACCAAGACAGAGAGATGGAGGGAGCGGGAGAGGGAAAGAAACCATGGTTGGAGAGGTTTCAGAGGAACAGCCGTGTTAGTCTGTATTCGCAAAAAGAAAAGGAGTACTTGTGGCACCTTAGAGACTAACCAATTTATTTGAGCATGAGCTTTCGTGAGCCACAGCTCACTTCATCAGATGATGAAGTGAGCTGTGGCTCACGAAAGCTCATGCTCAAATAAATTGGTTAGTCTCTAAGGTGCCACAAGTACTCCTTTTCTTTTCATGGTTGGAGAGTTAGTCAGTATTCCCATCTGGAAAGGGATTATACACTCTCCAGATCAGGGAATGTATCTCTCTCTCTCTCTCTCTCTCTCTCTCTCTCTCTCTCTCGTTAATGAGCGGGCACATGTATTAGGGGAGAGGCTTTTCTAGATTTTATTTTGACAAATAGGGAGGAACTGGTTGAGAATTTGAAAGTGGAAGGCAGCTTGGGTGAAAGTGATCATGAAATGGTAGAGTTCATACTTCTAAGGAATGGTAGAAGGGCGAAGAGCACAATAAAGACAATGGATTTCAAGAAGGCAGACTTTAGCAAACTCAGGGAGTTGGTAGGTAAGATCCCATGGGAAGCAAGTCTAAGGCAAAAAACAACTGAAGACAACTGGCAGTTTTTTCAAAGAGACATTATTAAGGGCAAAGGAGCAATCTATCCCACTGTGTAGGAAAGCTAGGAAGTATGGCAAGAGACCACCCAGGCTTAACCAGGAGATCTTCAATTATCTAAAAATCAGGAAAGAGTCCTACAAAAAGTGGAAACTAGGTAAAATTACAAAGGATGAATATAAACAAATAAAACAAGTATGTAGGGACAAAATTAGAAAGGCCAAGGCACAAAAGGAGATCATATTAGCTAGAGATATAAAGCGTAACAAGAAAACATTCTATGAATACATTAGAAGCAAGAGGAAGATGAAGGACAGGGTAGGCCCATTACTCAATGCGGGGGGGGGGGGGGGAGAGAATAATAACAGAAAATGTGGAAATGTCAGGGGTGCTTAATGATTTCTGTGTTTCCGTTTTCATCTAGAAGGTTGGTGGTGATTGGACGTCTAATCTAGTGAATGCCAGTGAAAATGAGGTAGGATCAGAGGATAAAATAGGAAAAGAACAAGTTAAAAATTATTTAGACAAATTAGATGTCTACAGGTCACCAGGGCCTGATGGAATGCATCCTAGAATACTCAAGAAGCTGACTGAAGAGATATCTGAGCCATTAGCAATTATCTTTGAAAAGTCATGGAAGAAGGGAGAGATTTCAGAAGACTGGAAAAGGGCAATTATAGAGTCCATCTATAAAAAAGGGAAATAAGGACAGCTCGGGGAATTACAGACCAGTCAGCTTAACTTCTGTACCCAGAAAGATAATGGAGCAAATAATTAAGTAATCAATTTGCAAACATCTAGAATTTAATAAGGTGATAAGTTACAGTCAGCATGGATTTGTCAGGAACAAATTGTGTCAACCCAACCTGATAGCTTTCTTTGACAGGGTAACTAGCCTTGTGGATGGGGGGAAGTGATAGAGATGGTATAGCTTGACTTTAGTAAGGCTTTTGATACTGTCTCAAATGACCTTCTCATTAACAAACTAGGGAAATGTAAGGTGGGTACAAAACTGGTTGGAAAACCGTTCCCAGAGAGCAATTATCAGTGGTTCACAGTCATGCTGGAAGGGCATAATGAGTGGGGTCCCACAGGGATAAGTTCTGGGTCCGATTCTGTTCAATATCTTCAACAATGATTTAGATAATGGCATACAGAGTACATTTATAAAGTCTGTTGATGATACCAGTCTGGGAGGGGTTGCAAGTGCTTTGGAGGATAGGATTAAAATTCAAAATGATCTGGACAAACTGGAGAAATTATCTGAAGTAAACAGGATGAAATTCAATAATGACAAATGCAAAGTACTCCATTTAGGAAGGAACCCATCCGTTCCACACATACAAAATAGGAAATGACTGCCTAGGAAGGAGTACTACGGAAAGGGATCTGGGGGTCATGGTGGACCACAAACTAAATAGTCTGTGCAACATCATTCTGTGATGTATTAGCAATCATCATTCTGGGATGTATTAGCAGGAGTATTGTAAGCAAGACATGAGAAGTAATTCTTCCGCTCTACTCTGCGCTGATTAGGCCTCAACTGGAGTATTGTGTCCAGTTCTGGGCGCCACATTTCAGGAAAGATGTGGACAAATTGGAGAAAGTCCAGAGAAGAGCAAGAAAAATGATTAAAGGACTAGAAAACATGATGTATGAGGGAAGATTGAAAAAAATTGGATTTGTTTATTTGGAGAAGAGATGACAGAGGGGAAATGATAACAGTTTTCAAGTACATAAAGGGTTGTAACAAGGAGGAGTGAGACAAATTGTTCTTCTTAACCTTGGAGGATGGGACAAGAAGCAATGGGTTTAATTGCAGCAAGGGAGGTTTAGGTTGGACGTTAGGAAAAACTTCCTAACTGTCAGGGTGGTTAAGCACTGGAATAAATTGCCTAGGGAGGTTGTGGAATCTCCATCATTGGAGATGTTTAAGAGCAGGTTAGACAGACACCTGTCAGGGATGGTCTATATCGGCATTTCTTAAACTGGCATCCATGGACCCCTGGGTGTCCCTGAGGGTACCCCAGGAGGTCCATGGGCCCCGCTGATTGACTCCTCCCCCTCCCTCCCAGCACCTCCTTCACGTTAAAAGTCTGGCAACACTGCAGGGCTAAGGCAGGCTTCCCACCTGCCCTGGCCCTGTGCTGCTCAGGGAAGTGGCCAGCATGTCTCTGTGGCCCCTAAGGGGGAGGCAGGAAGTCTCCATGCTTGGCCCCCGCCCTGAGTGCCAACTCTGCAGCTCCCATTGTCTCTGACTGTCAGAAACTGGGTCTGAACTACAGTGTATGGACCACCACACACATTGCCCTGTTATCTTCATTCCTTCTGAAGGATCTGGCATTATCCACTGTTGGAAGACAGGATACTGGGTTTGATAGACTAATGATCTGACCCAGCATGGCTGTTCCTATGTTCTAGATTAGGTTCTTGTACCGGTCCCCTTCACCATAATTGTGAGCGATTGTGTTTCTTATTGTAGTTATAAAGTTGTTGTTCCTTTGAGATCACATTGCTATACAACGGCATTTAATCTTCCAAAGAGGGGTCTAAAAAGCTTTGTTCCTGTCCTTTCAGTAAAAATATTATTACTGTCCCTGACACCCTGCAGAGCTGGAAATGGTGTGACAGGACATGAGTAAATTGTTAGAATTTCGCACACAGGTTGCTGTACAACCAACTCTCTGCTTCTTTTCCCCCGGGACTTTCCTGGCCAGATCTTGGCAATGGTAGAATTCCATTCCGCTGGGAAGCAGCGCACCATGCTGGTCACACCCAGAGCTGCACCTCTGCTGCAAGGGAAAGATCTCATTTAATGATGCTGGGATGTGGGAATGCAAAGTCTAAAGGGGAAGAGGCTGATCCTGACCCCAGGCAATGCAGGGGA